TTAGTACTGCTCGTCTCAATAGTAGGGTAACTTTATAATGCTAGACTTCCTCAACTCATTCTGGAGATGGATGTTCAGAGGAGCTGATTTGGATCACTTCCTCCATAATTCAGAATATCGAGATGTAGCGAGAACCTTCTTCACCCTCGTTCGATTGCATCCTCATGTGTTTTACTCTCATCTCATGGTGTCATGACTTCAGGGATGGTGGTACAACCTCGTGCAGACCTATGCAGGTTGGGCAATGGGAATTGGTAGTACTCATTATCACTGAGTGCTCACCGATTCTTATACTAGTTTGTCACATCTTCAGAATCCATTTTCATGCTCGCTGGACTAGTAGTATTCGCAGTATTCTGTGGAGCTCGTAAGCAGTTGTTAGGGCGACAACAACAGGGGGTGCAGGAGCTCTGTTGTTGGTGGTGTTCAGGTCATGCCTCCTTCCTCACTATGATATTGATATTCCTATTCATTCTTGCTGGAATAATGCTGTTTGATAATATGCTACCACAGTTTTGGGAAATGTTCAAGAAACTCGTCCGAGATAATTTTGGTATCGTCGGTAAGGTCCTTCTCGCCGCTGAATGACCACAATTGACATGAGCCATGAAACTGATGATCAGTGAAGCTATGGTCGTAAAGTATGAAGTTCACATTGTTACACTATTACATAACCTATGTGCTGATGTAATATACGACATTCAACACTTCACAATGCTAAGTGATCCCATCGAGTTGAGTTGCCATTATCTTCAGACGTCGTTAATCATGAGTTCATGAGTCTACACAAGTCCAACAGAATACCGTCATTCCCCTCTGCCCTCTCAGAACAGTTCGCTCGATTGTTATTCTTGATATCCAAGACCCGAATTTAGTAACACAATGAACTGCAGTCGGGCTGCATTTGGTTGTATTGGAATCCTATAGTAAAAGGACACGTCCATTCAACCAGTATCTACTTGAAAGGCTATGCACGCTTCGCGAGCCCGGCTACGTAGAATTGATCATGTTGTTCGAGAGAATACAAAGCATAGAAGGTCATTTTCTCCCAGTCCATAGGGCTCTCATCCAAATTACGCGTATAAACCGAAGCATAACGTAGTCGGCCATCGGAGCACTTCAGAGGAATGAGATGACGATCGTACCACTGAGGATAACCCTCAAGCAAATCTAGTGACTGTAGACATG